GTGTATAATAAAAAAGAGTGAAAAGAACATTTCCCCAACAGGGGATTAACAAAGTATATATCTACTCTTGTAGTACCTTTAAGTAGCAGTAAATTACAGGATTGAAAAAAAATACTCAAAGAAAAATACTTCATTACAGTAAACTGAATGGTTGTAATTTGTTTTTAAAACCTAAAGGACAAAGCAGTCTGCATGATAATGTAGCAGTGCTGACAGTCACACACACACAGAGAGTCAGTTATTACCTGTGTGTTCAGCTGTGTTTTGCTGTGAGGAGGCAGCAGGTCTCTTGCGATCATTCCCACCATCAGAAGGATCATCGGAGCCACAGAGCTCTCTGACATCAGCCCCACTCACACACAGTCCGTCAGTCACAGAGCTCCCACCAGCCTCCAGTGTGCACTTCTGTCCAAGCAGCTCGTTCAAAACCTCGACATCATCATGAAGAGCGTCCACTTCTTCTTTCTGTTGTCTCTCAGCTGTGGTCTGTCCATCCATCCCTTCCTCTTGGCGTGTCTCTGTGCCTCTGTCCATCACCCCTGCTGCTGCTGCTTCTCCGCCAGTGCTCCCATTACAAGTGGACTGGTCAGTGGTCCAGCCCTGTGCCGCCCAGTATGAGTACTGTTCCCAGTAGGAGTAGTAGGTCCCTGCAGCATGTTTGTCCCAAGCGGCTTTTGCATCTGGGTCGTCCCAGGGAGCAGTCACTGTTCCTGGATATTTCTCTAGCCAGCTGCTCCACAGCAAAGCCTCACCCTGTTGAGCTTCAGAAAAAAGCGAAAAGACAAACAAACTGACAGCTCTGGTGAGTTTTATTTAGTTTCTGTCCAGTTTGAAGGGTGTTATATGATTATCTGCTAGGTAAAATGAATGATTTTGTCAATGGAGTTGGACCCATTATTTTGGCCTCAGATGCTGGTGCTCCAGTGCAGTGGTTCCCAAACTTTTTCCCTAAGGGACCTCTTTTCCATCATTGAGTACACTGATGACCCCTGACTGACATATCTTATTGATATTTCATATTGTATTTGAGCAGATTATTTCCTGTGAATATTATATTATATTATATTATTTAATACATTTATCAGATAGTGATAGGGCTTTGCCATCACTGTGTAGAAGGGCATGTAGTGTCGGAAGACTAGAAAGGTACTATGTAAATGGACCTAAGTACGGGCCTCCTTCTTACCCCAGTAGGTTTCCCAGCCAGCATCTTGGATCCCTCCTGTTCCTTCCTCCAGTGGATCACACACTTCAACATCAACTAGGTCAGTGTCCAAAAACATCACACATCATAATAATAATAATAATAATAATAATAATAATAACAAAGTGTGTTGTATTACTTTTGTTGTCAGGTTGTAGATCTTTTTGGTCATCCTCTTCTTCAGCTGGTTCTGCCCAGTATGTAGCTGACTTCCTGTTTGACCTCCTCCCCTGTCACATGACCAAAAAGAGGCTCATCCAGCAGCAGGAAATGGCTGCAAATATTGTAGCTTACTATTATTTAATTAAACTAACTCACCACTCCCTTCTGCTCAGAGGAACTGACAAAGGATAGAGGTAGACCCAGGCTGGCCATCAGCTGAGCTTCTTCATCTAACACCTCCTTTTCTTCTTCTTCTTCCTCATCCTCCTCCTCTTCGTCTTCGTCATCTGTATCTGTTAGTTGATGGAGTATTAATTTCACATTTTCACACTATTGATTGATCTTGTGTTCTCTCTACTTTTCTTGAGTGTGTGTGTCATTCAATCAGTGCAAAACCTCAGAAGCAGGTTTTCAAATAACACCAGAACATCACCACCTTGTGATCATTGTTAAACATGAAATGATACAACATACCTTGGACTGCAGTGCCTAACGGGCCAAATGAAAGCAATCTATTATCAGAGCGATAGAGCTCCCGATCCCTAGACAGAGGGAGAGGACACAGACAAACAGGAAAGGCTGGTAAAGACCAAGAACTGCACAGCTTCATTTATCCACACATCATTCTGCCTGCAATACTGCTGTGTTTATAAAACAAAACACAGGTGATTTTCAATGTCAATGTGTTTTAAGACATACACCGATGAACGAATACAGTATAAGCATGAAGTGAATAACTCTGATTCTAATCGGTTTATCCAAATGGCTTCCTGTCAGTGGGGTGGGATTCATAATTACCAAGCCAAACGTGAACCATTTCGATGTCTCCAACTGTTGAGTCGTTACGAATAGCAGGAATAATGGGGCCAGCGTGAGGTCTGTAGCGACTTCTGCCCAAGGGCCAATTGGTGATGGTTGAACGACTGGGTTCATCTCAAACCTGCAGCTCTTGTTGTTGGTAATGTGCATTATAGTGAACTGAACGGACGCGTTTCATGTGTATACAGGATGTCAGTTAAGTAGGCTGTCTTTCAATGTGGCCCAGGACACATTTGCGTTTACACTACAAAAGGTATGTGATACAGTGCGTACCAGACCTCAGCAAGTGGTTTGAGGGATCACATCACAATGTGTCCCAAGATGAGTTCCCTTGCCATCGCGGTGATATCATAGCGCAACCCCCCCTCAAGAAGAGCTTTAATGATGAGAGATATGTTTTATACGTAGTTGAAT